TTTACCAAGATATACCTTTTGCTCTTTTCTTTCTCTCTCAGTAACCTTTTAGCCTGACATTGGATATTCCTTTAGATTGCATTTTGGCGGGATCAACAAGATTTGATTGGTTATTCACTTGATTTTTGTTTTTTTTAGCTTGTTTCCCTGACTTTGAACATCTTACACTTATTATATTATCAATATCCAACGATAATTTTTTCATTGAATCATTTATACACTGCTCAGCCTCTTCATTTCCCTTGGCTTTATTAGTGCATAAATATGACATTTTTTGCATGTATGTTTTGAATATTAGGCTACCTTTACCATCATTCCACATTTGTGACTGTTGGAAGTACTTGTATGCATCATTATTATACACATCTCTTTTTACATTTGCAGACCATCTCAATACGAGATATTTATCTGAGATCTTCTTAATGTGTAGAAAGTTTAATACTCGTAGAGAGTGAGCACATAATAGCCCCATCATTTCAAATTTTTTGCAACTACATTGAGCCTCCGAACTGAAAGGATCAAAATTTACCACCCAAGTTTTGTTTGTGGTGTGATTATCCAAATTATTAATAAAAAATTCATTTTCGTTGTTCATAGAGGCGTGCAATTGAAGACCACATGATCCATGAATAAAGTCTACCTTAAACATATTATAGAGCTTCCTTGAGTAAAATACAGATGCCTGCCTCAATATAGGGCTGTTTTTAGCAACTGAAGTGATCACAGATTGATCAGATTTATAATCTTTATCCTTCTCGTTACGCCTTCATGTTCTCATGACTTACTCAAGGCCCAAAAAACAATCAGTAATATAACTTGTGGGCTTAGTGACACCATTACAAATATTATTTGTTGATTCACTTCTCTGGGTGGATAAAATTCTCATTCCAAATTCATCTTATTAAAGGCTGTAACCCACTTATCTCTGATGTTGTACATCTCATCTAACCAAACGTTATCTTGTAGATTACAACTCTCAATCATCATCTCCCATGAGTTATCAAATTTCTCTTTTCAGATTTCTCTTCAGACTCGCATTTGCTCATACACTTATAAAAAAGATTAGCTATTATTTTATTCGCTAACCCGCAGTGAACCTTTGTATGCAACTTCTTATATATGTGTCACTAGCATAATCTATGTTGTGTATTTGGCAAGATTTTTTCTAAGGCTTTTCCCATTGCTTGGTCTTGATCAGTATATATTGTAATTAGATGATTGTCGCCCATAATACAAAGAAAAGTTTTAAAAAGTCATTTGACAGACTCTGTCCTCTCCTCTGACAAAAAACCAACGCCAAAGAAAACATTCTGTCAATTGTGGTTAACACCAACAAAAGGAGCACAACACAAGTTATATCTATTTAATTTATAGCTAGCATAAAAAATGATAACATCACCGAAGCAATCATAATCATGCTTCAAAGTGTCGTCACACAAAAAAAAACTCGACCACTCTCATCAATTTCGAAGTTCCACTCAAACATGCTATCCTCAACACGTCTCTCTGTGAAAAGTTGCAATAAAGCATTGACATCGCCATTTTCAATTCTACATCGCCTCTCTATTTGAATGAAATTAAAAGCATCTATCTTAGTGCACTCCAGTTTCTCAACTCCCCAACTTTTGTGGCTAGAAAGTTGAACGCATCTCTAGGTCTTATTTCTGACTGTGTCATCGATTTGAGAACCTCTGCATTCACTTCACTTATCTTTCTACTAGACCGCAAGAGATGCTTATCACCAGTGTTTGCTAAGGAGTGGTTATGAGACTCAATGAATTTTTTAATTGTCCAATTGCCTTCAACATCAACTGCATCACGAATCATTGTCGGACAACCGCTTCTTGTGTCCGCTCGTTTGTATTTAACAATTTGTGTGGCTTTCAACTCTTTCTTGAAACCTGCTCTCCCACAAACAAAGTCTTTCATCTTAAGATTCTTGGAGTTAGGCCAGAACGTGTCGTGCTCCTTACGGACACTAAATCCGATATGATGAGCGTAAGCACAATATACTCCGTAAGCTTCTTTGTCATTGTGGACAACAGTTTCAAGTAAAATATTTGCACTTTCATCTCTACATTTAGCTTCACTCTCATCCAACTGCAAACAAATATAAAACTATATTAAACTACTATTAAACTACCCTATAAATATTTTACTACAACAAACAAGCCTACAAATAAGAAACATACACAACAAATAAGAACATTATAATAAACCCTAATTAGCACATCACAACAAACAAAAAAAAATCACAACTTTACAAACATTCACATCCATAATATTCTTATAAATCATACAACAAATAAGATCACCCTAAAAACAGACTACATTTTAATAAAAAACTGAAGATCTCTACCTCATAACACACAAAGGAAATCACCATAAAACACAACAAGAAACACAACAACGAAAACACCAAACAAACAGGCCTAAACACCAAGAAACAAAGATATCCCGACAGAAAAAATACAGAGGTATTTCTCTAAAAAAAATACAGAACTACAAACAAACAACTAATATACCTCCACTTTAACATCGACTTGTTCTCTGTTGGCTGGAAATGTATCTTCTCCTTCCCCGTCAGAGACGAAATGCCACATTGTGTGGTCCATCTTCATCATCAAAATGTAATAAAACAGTAAACCCTAGATTTTTGCTGCTTAAATAGTAGCATTCACGCGCTCTGATTTTTTTAAAGAAGATTATCAAGCGGTTATAATTAATTTACGGCTCCGTGATTGCGAAGGGTTCTCGCAGATTACAACCAAGTTACAAACCCGTGGTACCTTGCTTTGGATGTTACAGGAATGTTACACGGAAGGTACATTGGTCGGGCGGGGTGCAGAGGTTACCAAGGAGTTACACAGCCTCGGTACAACAGATAGCGTAGGTTACTGCGTCGGTTACAGCTCAGTTATACTGCTAGGTTACAACGCGAGGTATGAACTCTCGGTTACACTCGGTTACGGCTCAGTTATAGCTCGTTTATATTGCTAGGTTACACGGCGCTGTGTTAGATCTCAGTTACGAGACGACGTTATAAGCGCGGTTCATTCGTCTTGAGGTTACAGGAAGGTTACAACCCTATTATTAGAGCGGTACCGCGGTAATGTCCCGCTCGGTTACACCGCCTGTACCACTCAGTTATAACTCGATTATAACAGAGCGGTCCGAGTCGACGGGTCGCGTTTGAATAAAGGCGGTGGGACCAACATTGCTAATTTGTCAAGCGACCATTGGACGACACAGGGAGCGCTGCGTACGTCTTATGTACGCAAATTTTTTTTCGGGTTATTGAGGGTTATTGGGGATTATCGGGACATTAACTCCTATAACACCGGGATAACCCCCAATAACACCGCGCGGTGAACCACTCCAATAATCTCCATAATTTTACTTCAAGAACCCCCTTAAAACAGCTCCAATAAGTTGCAATAACCCCCCAATAAAAAATTTGGTGTTATTTTGGGGTTATTGGGTTATTAACTTCAATAACACCTCACGGTGAATCTTCGTGGTTTCGCTCTGATAGTTTTTCGGTGTTATTTAGGGGTTATTGGGGGGTTAATGAGAGGTCATTAGGGTATTAACTCCAATAACCCTTAATTACTTCAATAAATTAGGGTATTAACTCCAATAACGCCGCAATAACCCTTAATTACTTCAATAAACTTCACGGTTCCACTTCAATAATCTCCACTGTTCCACATTAATATTTTTTGAAGTGGGCCCAATGTAACACACGTAACGATAATTACTGGAGCTAGCAGACAGAGCTCTGTTCGAACTCTGTATGAAAAATTTTCTCCATTTGACATAACAAGTTTTCAATTTCACCCACAAGTGCGTCATTCCTCCACCCCACTATCATCATGCTTCTCCGGCTCAAATTTTATTTGTGCCAATTTCTTTTTCTAAATATCAAAATCTTAGTCTTAATATTTATTAAAGATGATCTATTCAAGGTTGTCCGCCAATAAGGCTAGACCAAAGATGACATTTATAAGTGGCCCCATCAAATCCCTATACACATTAATATTTTACGAATATCATCATCAAGGCCTTCCCTTATTAACAATTTTCTGTCAGTCTCTAAGTGCAAATTGTTTATATCTTCATATACTATGTTTTAATATACTTGGTACTTTTTAATTGCAATGAAACTCGCAAGTCACTTATTAATGCCTGCTAAATTTGTTTGCCTCATTCCCTTGAGCACCTCTTCCAATCAGCGGTGTAAATTTGTTAAGCCAAGCTCAAGTCATATCTAACTTAAGCTCAACTTGTTCATCAAAATACAAACTAAAGCTCAAATGACAAGACCGAGCTTACGTTTAAGTTCAAATGATAAGCTTAAACTTGGCTCGGGTACTAATAACAACAACAACAGAAGAAATTGCGATGAGCTCACCGGATAAGCCATCCAAACTATCAATGGCATAAGAGATACTATTGCAACTCACACATTTATGTGACCAAAATCTAACTAGTCGAACCTACTCACGAGCCCTAATAACAACAACAACAGAAGAAATTGCGATGAGCACACCGGATAAGCCATCCAAATTATCAATGGCATAAGAGATACTATTGCAACTCATACATTGATGTGACCAAAATCTAACTAGTCGAACCTACTCTCGAGCTTCGAACCTACTCACGAGCCCACAAACCAAGCTTAGACAAGCTCAAGCTCGATAAGTTCAACTGAGAAGATCTTTAATGTGTCCTGCCCCATCAAATTCTCAAGCTTACACCACCATCTCCCAATCACATCCTATAATTGATATATATATTTTCTACAATCTTCCATATCAAAATTAAAATGAGTTGAGTCAATTAAAAATCAAACAAAAATTAAATTTATGTAGATTCCATTGACCTCAGTTACTCGATAAGAATCAACTAGCAAAACCCAACTAGTGAACTTGAATTAAGCCGATTTTATGCAAGAACAGAGAACATTAAAATTAAAAAAATATTAACAACTTCCATCAACAAAGAGTTCAAAGCTTTAGATCGACTCAGCCTTAATATCTATCAGAAGGACTCAGGATTCAGCTTGAGAAAATCATACACATTAGCAAAGCATTATAACACCTAAGCTTCCTGAACCCATGCCCCACCTTGTCTATGAACCAAAGCTCATCTCATAAATGCATGTTTTGATTTCTGAATCACCTTTTAATACAAACAAATTTAGCTGAGCATACAAAAACACTAAAGTCATCATCCTGCATGCTGCTGCCAAATACGTATACTGTATTGGACTATTGGGAGGTCAGATAATGGTCAGTGTTGCAGAAAACCGCCGATCTTCAGTCATCGGTGAAAAATGATGATGTCGACGAGTTATCCATGATCGAAAACTGCATGTTCTCGGCCGGCTTCCAGTGCCTCTTCCTCTGGTTTATGAACCAGTTGTTTATTTGCTTCTGGTCTAGACCTGTTGTCTCGGCGAGCGCAATTTTGTCTGATTCCTGCAGATTACTTATAAGAAGATGAAAACTTCTCAACCAAAAGAAAAGGCTACTTATTTTCAGAACCACTTCATAGTATCACTGATTCTAAGTGCTTATTTGCTTACATTTTTGGGGCTTTACATAAATACTCCTAATTCCTAATTAAATATCTAGCAACTTACATTTATATCACCCAAAACATTCATATCAAATAAAAAATAACGTCATTTCAACTTTATTGCTCTAGGTTCATCCTACAAGCAAATATATCATGTAAATACACTAAATTGCGGAGCACGAATCAGATATTCTGAAGCTTAAAATTGTATATGGTATTACACATTATTGTGACAAGTTGATACAAAAAATGAACAGTTCCTTTTCCAAATGTAAGCAGAATCAAGAGGAAGATGTTTCATAATTCACCAACAAGAAGCTATGATTTCTTAGCCTTACTAGACAAATGGTGAATCATTAGTCCTGCGGTATTTTTGCATAGTTTCAAATTTTAAGATACTGAAAAGCAAAAGAAAATTTTAGTGTTGGCAATAAAATAATGTTGGAAGTCTTACTGTAGGATAGGGCCACTTGTAGTGAGCAGTCCACCAGTCAAAGAGTATCTGTCGTGCTTCTTTGGGGAGCTTCCCTTTCTTCCTTTTCTTTGAAAATTCCTGCTTCAAACTACTCAAATAACCACTGTATTTTCGGAGCAGTTTCTCTTTTAGATCTCTTTCTTCACCCTTTAAAAATGATTCCGGAGCATCTAATTCTCCCCCACTGAGTTCCTCGTCCGAAGATCCAACAGCTTCATCTGTTTCAGAATAAAAATTAATAAGTAATAGACTGTCAAAAGTCAGAATATGTTATTTAAGCAACTCTTTTGTTCTACTTTCACCTATTTAACTCATTAAAATCGGTTCAATTTTATATTTTGGCAAATACATTAAATTTGGATTGAAAAACATCAATTAATAAGCCAAAGTTTCATGAATGATTTGCCCTTTAAATCGTATAAAGCTTCACCATCAACAAAAACTACTGCACCTACATGAGATTGTATGTAGAGCTCCATGATACATGATTGTGCACTTGAAATGAAAAGCGAGTAACAAAAATAAGTACAACTTCATAAATTCCTAATGTTATTTTGCTTATGATAAAGTTATAGATTGCATGTTATATGATAGTGCTGATTATGTGGTCTGCATTACTGTTTTTTGGTTCGCAGAAAATTCTTCTACCATAACAAAGGCTATTCAATCTAGATATTTGACTTTTCTTATACTAAAATTAATATAAATTATATCAGTGGCTACTATAGCAAAAGCTCCATATAGATCTTCAATGAGATAATGCACAATTGTGTCAATGAAATAATGCACAATTGCGAACTGTTTCTTGGCATACCATGAAATGAGTAACTTGTAGTGCACTTCCTATTTATAGAATCACCAATCCTATCAAAATCTAAAAGATCACAAAGAAAGAAGAACTGTTTCTTGGCATACCATGAAATGAGTAACTTATAGTGCACTTCCTATCTATAGAATCACCAATCCTATCAAAATCTAAAAAATCACAAAGAAAGAATTAGCTTTAGTTAGTTAAGAACAAAAGGGGATGAGCAGATCAGACCGACAGATCCAAATCCAAGCCACATGACCACATCGGCCTCCCCAATCATGCAAATCTCATGATTTTTCTCATGCTCCTCTCGTCTTTGTTCAAGATATAAAGATCGAGTGTTGTAGCCGCCAAACGATAGATCTCCCTTCTCTTTTACTTTCCTTGTCCTAAAAACTTAAGTTGCATGTCTCCTCTCTCCCTTTGAACGCAAACATTTCTTCCTTCCTCTTCCTCTTCCTATTCTCTTCCTCAACTAAGCAATAAACAGTGAGCCTTTGTCTTCTATCCATATTAATGGCTTGATAAATTCAAGTATTGTAAGCATGGTATATCATCTACAACATCCAAGCCACATGACCACATCGGCCTCCCCAATCATGCAAATCTCATGATTTTTCTCATGCTCCTCTCGCCTTTGCTCAAGATATAAAGATCGAGTGTTGTAACCGCCAAACGATAGATCTCCCTTCTCTTTTCATTTCCTTGTCCTAAAAACTTAAGTTGCATGTCTCCTCTCTCCCTTTGATCGCAAACATTTCTTCCTTCCTCTTCCTCTTCCTCTTCCTCTTCTCTTCCTCAACTAAGCAATAAACAGCGAGCCTTTGTCTTCTATCCATATTAATGGCTTGGTAAATTCAAATATTGTAAGCATGGTATATCATCTACAATGAATAAGCATAACTGCATTGAAAACTCTGTTGGGTTGGATAAGGAGAGATTGGCATAGTATTAGAATGAAGCTTGTTTAACGCAATAATGACTTTTTTCCCCAAAAGAAAGGCATGGGTGGGGTATTGGGGATATGAAGCCTTTTGGTTAATCAATACCAACAGTTTCATTAAAATGACTAAGTAGAAAATCAATGTCTATATCTAATTGAAGAACTTTAAAATTATAATAAAAAGTCAATAGTAGTTAATAAAGAGATCATAAGCCTATTGTGAGGGCGGTTAAGTGGGTTATCATGTATTATTAAGTGGAGCCGTATTGTGTTGATTAATTGTCACTAAAAGCTATAAATTTTGCCAATTATGCTTAAGGTTAAGTGAGTTGTATTGAGTTTTGGGGGGCAATGTCCCTTCTATATTGAGTTTGGGGGGACTTCCCCTCAAAAATATTTTATTGTAAAGAAAACCCAACGCCAAAATGTAGCGCCCCTGTGCCTGATGCTAGTTTAAAACATGAAAGCATGACCTTCTAACACCCAAAGGGGAGCGCCACACACTAAGATCCAGTGCCCTAGCGCAGAGACTAGCAGCGTTGCAATGCCCATTTCAGGTATCGAAACCTGAGAGCTCACCATTGTAGTGCCTAGAGGTCAGCGCCCCATAGCCCGTTGGAGCGTTGAACACTACTATCATAATGCTCCGGCACCAGTAACCAAATACAGATAAGTTCCAATAAGTCTCAACTTTGCTATGGAAAGTATGTGCTTTGAAGGATGCGATTTCGAGTTCTCTCGTGCAAAGCAGATGAGTTTCTTGAAGTGTTGAAAATAGAGAAAAGGCTTGAGTGTTGTGTAATATGTAGAATTTCTTCATTTCTTCATAATGAATTTTTTGGTGTGGTGTGGCTCCACAATTTTTTCCGGTTCTCGAATTTTTCCATGTTAAATCTTGTGCTCTATGTTTTCAAGTTTTGTGCACTCTTGTTCGAAGTTTTACTTAGGAGCTCTCGAATTGATTTCTATATCTCCCAGCAAGTTGTATCATAGTAAGATTTCTGAATTCTTAGTTTGAGTGGGTAATGACCAACAAAGCAGAGTAATAGGTTGAGAATTTCTATGGTTCAAACTTTATTTTATGACATAGAAATTGAAAATTTGTTATATCTAGAGAACCTACCTATCATTAAATGAAAACACCAAGAATCTGAAATTGACTCTAGAAGAATTTTAGCCTCACAAATAGCTAATTTATAAATTCAATGAAGAATCGGCGAAAAAGTCATCATAATTTTTAAAAGTAAAAAAGAAATTTTTAAATCATTCTCATCCCACAAGACTAATTTCCAATAGCAAAGTGAAAGAAAATGAACTACTCATAATTCATAGAGAATAAAACAAAAACACCAAATTTGTATTGAAATTCAAGTCTTAGAAACAAAAACTTAAACACAAATACAAAGTACTTTATATGTTCTCCCCAACACAAATTCTAGAGTCTCCTTGAAGAAATCTCTAAACTATTACTCTGACAATACAAAACACACTAAAACATACACTTAAGCACTAAAGTGGGACTTTAAATGCTGCCAAAAAGTCCTCCATTTTGTCCAATTTTTGTCCATATTAATAAATTTCTGAAAATAACCAAGAGTTGCTTCAAACACCCCTCCAAAATACAGTCAAATTCAATGGATCTTCTAGAAGAGAAGTTATTGGCGATATAGCGCCAGTCTTGACGCTATAGTGTCGTTTGCCCGCTTCTGTGGCGCTGTGGCGCTATAGCGCCAGGGGGTGGCGTTATGGCGTCATACCATTTTACACAATTTTTGTTCATTTTTCTCTCATTTTTTCTAAATATCTATTTCATGTACCTAAAACCAAAAACAGACAAAATACATTCTTTTAAAGTGCAATATCACTAAAAATATGCATAAAACGATCATAAAATATGCACTAAAAATATGTAATTTTAAGGTGGATCAACCAGTTGTTGTTTTTGTCATCAAGCTTGATGATGAGGTTAGGGATCAGTTACTCTTATATTCATTGTCAGATAATTGAGAAGAACTCGTTACTCAGATGAGTAATTCTTCAGGAATCATGAAGTTAGATTTTGATCATATAGTGGGGTTACTGCTGAATGAAGAAATTTGAAAGAAAACGACAAATGAAACTTCAAATTATGTTTTGAATGTCAAAATTAGAGGAATAAATCCAAATACAAATACTGACAAAATACGATTCAAATCCAAGAGAGAAAAATCCAAGTCAGGGAGAGAAAACGGAAGAGGTGAATGCTGGAATAGCGGGAAGGATCGACACTTTAAGAAAAAACTACAAAGCTTCACAAGATTGGTGGTGAAGATTCAGAAAAAAACTTTCACAAATGTCTCCAAAAATAAAATCAAAGGTTACTCATTCATTTTATCTCTAGATAGTACTGAATCTTAAATTCAAGCGCCTCTTTTTATGCTTTCCCCAACAAAGAAGTTCAAAAATTATACTCAAGGTGATCAAGGGAAGGTATCTTTGGGATATAATAAAGCTTGCAGTATTATTGGAAAGGGCGATGCTAGAACTGCGAGAAAAAATGCCACTAAGAAAAACTGCAAAGCATTAAGAAAAGGTGGTGAAGATTTAGAAAAAAAATTCTCTACAAATGTATGCACAAATGAAATCCAATGTAACCCATTTATTTTTTCTCTAGATGGTACTAAATCGTAGATTCAAGTGTCTCTTTTTAAGCTTTCTTTTTAAGCTTTCCCCAACAAAGAAGTTCCAAAATTACACTCAAGATGACCTATGTGAGATAATAAGGCTTGAAGTATATTATTAGAAAGGATGATGTTGATATCAAGTTGATAAATGGATCAGTCTGAAATTAAATGAAATTAGACATGCTTCATGTTTGAAGAGAAATATTATTTTTGTGAGTCACCTTGTAAGGTTAGGACACGTGACTACTTTCATAAAAAAAAAATCATGGAAGAAGATTGAAGGTGCAATGGTAATGGCTCATAGAAGTATTAAATGACACTCTTTATCTAATCAATGAGATATCTAAATCTATTGGAGTAACTAGAACAAAGGTCAATGCAGGTCTTTGGCACCAAAGACTTTGTTATAAAAGTAGAAATGTATGAAAGCTTGTATCGAGATCAAGATTGATAGAGAGCTTGGAACCAAAAAAGCTTGTATCGAGATCAAGATCGATAGAGAGCTTGAGGAGATTGGTTCGTCCTTCATTTATTTTGTGCGGTGTAATCTTCAAGATTGTCTTAGTGAATTGTTTCTTGATTCCCTCCCGTGGATGTAGGCCCTGTGGACCGAACAACGTAAATTCTCGGTGTTCTTATTTGCATTTCTTCTTAACGATTTTTCATTCTTTTTCCCGTTTCGGTTTTCCTGTCCTGCGGCTTTCTTGGCAGCAAATTGTACAACAAGTACGAAATCGAAACAGGGAACCCTTAGCTTTCCCCTAAATATCCTGCCAATATATATGAATTAGGTGTTTTGAGTGCCACGAGATAAGTTAAATATGTAAGAAAAA